TTGACTTCAGTAAGTGTAGGTTCAAGATCTTGAACTTGAGTGTCAACTGGCTCCGTATATTTGTGTCAATGGTGAATAAAAAGACCACAAGGTCTTGGCTTTAATAAACGTGTATGGCTAGAAGTGGTTTACTTTATGTGCTTCTCAGACTCTGTGCCAGGCTGTTGTCAGACTGTTTGTTTGTCATCGCAGCCCGATGGCACTGGACGTTGTCCATGTTTTCAGGCGTGATTGGCCCGGCCTCATTCCATCATTGCTAAAAGCGGCGTAAAACCATACTCGCTCACTAAAGTATTCGCTCATTTAAAGACCGTAGCTCAAGGCGATCAAATGGATCGGGTGGTCAGGCTCGGTGTGACGTGTTCCTTTTAACCCGACGGTATGATCGTTGCTCACAATATCAATCACTGGTTTGTCTTGTCCAGAATCGATTATTTAACAAGCTGACGTCGGAATATTGCTAACTGTGGCGTTAGAAAAACAATCAACTCCCAATGCAAGGCGATCTGTATTGGATTAAAGAACGATTGGAACATGGTTAGTGTGAATACTTTCTTTTAGCCATGAGTATATACGATCTGTTATTGATCGGCTTGTCAGGAAAGGACAGCTTTGTTGACAGCAAAGATGAATTATCTGACGGGGTATCAGTAAATAGAATTACTCCTCCACTCGCAAACCAGGTATGTGAAAGGTTTTTCGCATTTTCGGTTCAGAGAATAAGCCATTATACTCCCAACATTCCCAAAAGGTGACGAAGGAGACGTTAAGTCTGACTGCAGTTTGGGCTCACTGTCAGAGCGTAATGAAGCTATCTGTCAAAAAGATCTGTTCGTAATCGTGGAACAACTTCGGATTCCTGTGTGATCTTCCTGTCCGCAAGAGAGGCAATTGTTGCAGTGCCGTTGATTTGGGGCAGATTTGACACGGTCAATTGAAAGAGTTACTTATACAAATAAAAGCGACAAAACCCTTTCCGCGAGCAGTAATCTTTGTACAATTGTACGAAGGCAGTTGTGATTGCGACAATGTCATAGGCGTGTGTTCAATCAAAAAGTGATGACACCAAGTGTCTTTTTCATCGTCTTTCTTGTACGTTTGCAACTCCTTCTTCAGGAGAAACCCTCGTTTATTAAAGCACTAACAACTGCATGAAGAGGTACTATAACTGACTGGCACACGCACTTATACTTTCCAATACCCCTGTGTGCGTGTTGTAGGAAGCCGTTGCGTGGCGGGAGTGCTGCTGTGGGGCGTCGGGCGGTGGATGCTGGCCTTTTGATGCAAATTGTGTGAATGGCGGGTGCTCCTGGTATTGCTGAACATGTATTCGCGAACACTGGTGTCATCACTAATTTTAAGTGGTCTATTCATATAAATTGCACTGCTATTTTGCCCTTTGAGCCAGTTTGTGTTTCGTTGGATGATCTAGAATGGTTGTTCTTTTGCATTGATAATATATATCTATCAAAGTCGTAATCGTCTAAGACCTGGATCACTTTGGTCCTTCTCCAGTACTGTTCAAGGCGGCGTTAAGACCACTCACTAACCCACGAAGATCCGGGGTAGAATAGATCTTCGGCCATCCTTGCCGTAAAAAGCGACTATGCTTGTCGTAAGATGCGACTAACGGGATCGGGCTCGTCGACTTGATTGATGCAAGTCATCTTCTCCAAATTGCTTTGCTCGATCCTCATGATATCAATTTCTGGATTGTCTGGTCTAGACTCGATTACATACAGACCGCCGTCATATAGCTGGGATATTGCCAAGTGCGGCGTTAAACAACAAACAAACAACAACAACACTAGCGCTCGTGGAAATATTAGCTTTTCATGACATTGAACAAAAACATGCAGTTGTGTCACGGATATATTTTGTAGCAAAATCTCGTGTGTATATCTGTCCAATAGAAACGTTACAAAAACATCCGGTGATTTGATGGCGAGGGTCGCAACACTGCAGATATGTTTTAATACCGCGCCTGACAGGGAAACGATCTGTCTCCATGCTTCTGACTGAACTATCCGCCGACCTACCATTTACAACGTTGTCTGTGGGAATCAAGGTTGAAGTCATTAGCTTGGAATGACAGGGTTGTTTTAAGACCTAAATAGTTTTCATCGATAAATGCACAGTTAATGTCGATGAAGCATCTTATGCCTTTACCTAGCGTCCACACAGAAAGAAAGAGGACATGAGACAGTTGTTCAGAATGAGTGAGTTTGACGCCGCTTTTAGCATTATTCCAGCAATATCACGGCGGGGGACACCAGAAATGGGCTACCCAAATTGTACCCATGTGTGGAATCGAGCCATGACGTTAGCGTCGCGTTGTGAATAAAGCAACGTTCTGTTGATTTCGTTGATTTCGTTCAGCATCGTAGTGTGAAGAAAGCGTCGTATTGTGAAGTAAGCATCGAATTGTGAAGTAAGCGTCAGATTGTGAAGTAAACGTCGTATTGTAAAGTAAGCATCCGATTGTGAAGTAAACATCGGATTATGAAATAAGCGTTGGTTTGTGAAGTAAGCATCGGATTGTGAAGTAAGCATCGGATTGTGAAGTAAGCTTGCGTTTATTGTGAAGTAAACGTCGTATTGTAAAGTAAGCGTCGGATTGTGAAGTAAGCATCGCATTGTGAAGCAAGCATCGGATTGTGAAGTAAGCATCGCATTGTGAAGTAAGCATCGGATTGTGAAGTAAGCATCGGATTGTGAAGTAAGCATCGGATTGTGAAGTAAGCTTGCGTTTATTGTGAATTAAGCGTCGGATTGTGAAGAACTTAAAGTATCGGATTTTGAAGTAAGCATCGGATTGTGAAGTAAGCTTGCATTTATTGTGAAGTAAGCGTCGGATTGTGAAGTAAGCAGCGGATTGTGAAGTAAGCATCGCATTGTGAAGTAAGCATCGCATTGTGAATAAGCATCGCATTGTGAAGTAAGCAGCGGATAGTGAAGTAAGCAAAGTATTGTGAAGTAAGCATCGCAATGTGAAGTAAGCGTCGGATTGTGAAGTAAGCATCAGATTGTGAAGTAAGCTTGCGTTTATTGTGAAGTAAGCGTCGGATTGTGAAGTAAGTTTGCGTTTATTGTGAAGTAAGCGTCGTATTGTGAAGTGAGCAGCGGATTGTGAAGTAAGCATCGGATTGTGAAGTAAGCTTGCGTTTATTGTGAAGTAAACGTCGTATTGTAAAGTTAGCATCGTATTGTGAAGTAAACATCGGATTGTGAAGTAAGCATTGGATTGTGAAGTAAGCTTGCGTTTATTGTGAAGTAAACGTCGTATTGTAAAGTAAGCATCGTATTGTGAAGTTAGCATCAGAATGTGAAGTAAACGTCTTATTGTAAAGTAAGCATCGGATTGTTAAGTAAGCTTGCGTTTATTGTGAAGTAAACGTCGGATTGTGAAGTAAACATAGGATTGTAAAGTAAACATCGGATTGTGAAGTAAGCGTCGGTTTGTGAAGTAAGCATCGCATTGTGAAGTAAGCATTGGATTGTGAAGTAAGCTTGCGTTTATTGTGAAGTAAACGTCGTATTGTAAAGTTAGCATCGTATTGTGAAGTTAGCCTCAGATTGTGAAGTTAACGTCTTATTGTAAAGTAAGCATCGGATTGTTAAGTAAGCGTCGGTTTGTGAAGTAAGCGTCGGTTTGTAAAGTAAGCATCGTATTGTGAAGTAAACATCGGATTGTGAAGTAAGTGTCGGTTTCTGAAGTAAGCATCGCATTGTGAAGTAAGCATCGGATTGTGAAGTAAGCTTGCGTTTATTGTGAAGTAAGCATCGCATTGTGAAGTAAGCATCGTATTTTGAAGTAAGCGTCTTATTGTGAAGTAAGCGTCGTATTGTGAGTAACGCATCATATTTGAAGGAAACATCTTATTGTGAAGTAAGCTTCTCCTTGTGACGTAAAATATCTGCTATGATTGTGAAGTAAGCTTCTTGTGACATAAGCTTCTCCTTGTGAGGTAAGCAACGTATTGTGAGGTAAGCAACGTATTGTGAGGTAAGCATCGCATTGTGAGGTAAGCATCGTATTGTGAGGTAAGCATCGTATTGTGAGGCAAGCATCGTATTGTGAGGTAAGCATCGTATTGTTAGGTGAGCATCGCGTATTGGGGTAAACAACGCATTGTGAGGTAAGCATCGTATTTTGGGGCAAGCATCGAATTGTGAGGTAAGCATCGAATTGTGAGGTAAGCAACGTATTGTGAGGTAAGCAACGTATTGTGAGGTAGGCAACGTATTGTGAGGTAAACAAGGTGTTGCAACTGACCTGACGTGTCATTGACTCTGAACATGAATTCCATGTACTTCTTCTGCCAGTGAGGAAAGCCTTTCCCCGAGCTGACGTCTCTAACGCAGGCGGACCACATTTGTACCCACTCCTCTTGCGTCACCTTACCATCCTGCAACATATACGATAGAGGTGTGTTATTGTGTTTGTACGGGTTTTTAAAAAAAAATTTTATAAACATATATTTTCTTATATCTGTGGACATAATACATTTCATTACATTTAAATTGCTTCACTTACCATGCAATTGTAGTGATTAGTAGCAAACGAAACAAAATATATACAAATAGATAAAAACATAACCAAAAAAGAAACATAATGATAATTCGTACGTTCACAGAATATATTGGCGCATGTTGAATCGAATTTACAAGTATTTCTGAACAAGGTAATGAGTGCAAATTACCTGTTTGTCTCTTGTAATAACGTTACTTTCCCTACCTAAATTGTCAGCAAATTTTGTTTATCATATCTTTCTCATCCACCCTCTAACGTAATAATAAATAAAACGTAGATAAATTTATTCAATTTATTGATTACTCTATTAACATGCACGCGTGTTTTATCGTTAAAATCATTAATTTTGCACGAGAAAGGGTGAACAGTTTGATAACATTTATTTTGGTACATTAAGTATACGGTATACAGCATGGAACAAACCCAATTACCTTATCAGACAATATCATTGTTTATCATGAATTCCAACTGCAGTTAACTTTTGACTCCATGAAACGACAATGCTCACCTACACCAACAAAGGTTAAGGCAAGTTGAAGTCTAGTTCATCAAATGGACTTTCTGAAATATCTACAATAACTCACTCAGCTCTCACCCAATGTGATCTACTTAATGTTAATTGCTGGAAGCAACTCTTAAAGATACTAAGACTAATGACAGCATGATGAGTGAATTGCCCTCAATGCCATCAGCTCTGAACATTCCCATTCTGAAGAACATTAAGGCACACTGGTAAGATAGAGATCCTTTGACATTCATGCGTTATCAATAAACCAAGAGCTTTACAAATCGGGCCTGATACATTACATGGCTAGGAGAAATACATGGGGACTTAATGTCAGAGTTCATATGTATCTGGTCGTCGCCTTCCATTTGGCAAACCTCTGAATTATTTAACTAGCAGCTATAACAGTACAGTGATCTTTGTATCTATTTGAGGAAATCGATGTCAAATCATATGTTCTAATCTGAAGCGTTTCATCGTTTGCCATTTAGCCGTGGTAAATACTTATAGACGGACCAGACACCAGGGAAGGTATCAATTGTTTGGATTTATATGATGAAGAAATAAGACTACTTCGCTGGTGCGTTTGATTAAAATCAAATCGACAAAGCCCTTTAATACTCATGAGCACTATCTGCTGAAAACAGTCCATCTGGTAATTCCAAGCTGGATGAATCAACTGTGTAAATATTTTTCCTGACCTGTGTATTACTATGCTTAATATTTGTATCAGTACCACTATCATTTTCATGTATCCCGAGACCCGTGACGATCCGGGGTAGAATGGGTCCTCGGCAAGCTATGCTTGTCGTAAAAGGCGACCATGCTTGTCTTAAGAGGCGACTAACGGGATCGGGTGGTCAGGTTCGCTAATTTGGTTGATGCATGTCATCATATCCCAATTATGTGCATCGATGCTCATTATGGCATCATGTACTTCAGATAGATTTAAATTAATACTATCTCTAAGTATCCTTATCTGTGTAACCGTCGTTCATATCAATAATTATCATTTCAACTTATGGTGATCTTTGTGATAATATACTTTGCAGATGTGTTCATATGAATATGTGTATCTTTTTTTATCTTTTTTTATATCCCGCCCAGTGTACTACTATGCTTTTTAAATAGATTTGTTCAATAGTGCTAACCTTTTCATATATCCTAACATAGGTAATACTTTGCTTTTGAGAGGCATGTATTTTAACTTGAATAATACTTTTTTCATACGCTGATTTGTAATACTGTGCATTGTACATATATTATTATAGTTACTGATATGGTGTTGTTTTTTATCTTACCTTGTAATTTTATGCCTAGTAGATTATTAACTTCAATCGTATCATGTTTATATGTCCTGTACTGTGTACTTTACATTTGTTTTACATATATTAATATCAATAATGATATCTAAGTTTGTATCCTGATCTATGCGTTATTATATCTTTAATGATATACGTTTAATATCTACTGATATATGATATGCAGAAAAACGATTATTTCGGTTTTGAAAACTGATGTTTTCACTTTTCCATATATCTAGATCTATGTTTAGGAAGAATGCACATTGGAGTTTTATTCTAAGATGCTTCGCCACTTCATCCTGCGATCACGTAAACTTTTTAAGTTACGTCATAATTAGATGACGTCATGACGCTGTTCAAATAACCTCCCTCGTCATCTAAAGTATCCTTGGTAACATCGTTCTTTCATCACTGTCAATACAAGATGGCGCATCCAAATCAGTTATCGGTGAAAGTTTCTTTAAACTCGTCGAATATTTGAATGTTATCACCTTGTAAGAAATATGGACAGATGATGTCAACCATCCCTCATGCCGCAGACTTGTCCCAAACATTATTAAAAAAATAGTGTCCGTGCCTAAGCCTTCACAAAATCCGAGGTGGGCGTTGGTTCGATAGGAATTATGTATCTCAGGACAAAAGACTATTATAACAGCAAAGCACTTGGACGCAAGCGTCATCGTGCTTTAGTTAGAATAGTTCAGGGCAAAACTATACTTTATTAAACTACACAAAGGAACGGAAGCCTTTTAGGGACATTTGGGTTTTTTTCTTGAAAATTCAAGATACCTACTTGAAATGTCAAGATACTAAGCTGAAATTTCAAGATACTAAGCTGAAATTTCCAGAAACATACAAAGTTGATATTTAAAAATAAAAAGTAGAAATTTTAAGATTATAACTTGAAATTTCAACTTAGTATCTTGAAATTTCAAGTACAAAATATAAAACACAAATGGCCCTAAAAGGCTTCCGTACAAAGGGGTTGAGCAAACTTTATTTCTTAAAAACATACACAAACCATTGCTGACTTAGATCCTAAGCGAAGATTAGGGTTACGTCTAGGACACTTCAAGCCTACAGGTTCTCACCTTGTTTTCATCAGCGATACCTTTAAGTCCCTCCCATATCATGGACAGCGTTTCCTGAGCCTCATTATAATTGTCACCTCCTTTAGGCCAGCCGTGGATCTTACAGATGTTCTGGAAGGGAAGATGTAACGTATTAATGAGTGAGCAGGTTGGACTCGGCTTTTACAGTTTGGAGTCATACCAACGGGGCAAGGGTGGATGTGCAGAGTTACGTCCCTTAGGCGCACCGGGAATTTATGACCGTGGGTTCGAATACACTCAAATTCGACAATATTTGTTTCTAGGTGTCACGAATGATAAAACATTAAATGTTTGCACCATGTCTGGATGTCCCTTCCCGTCACGCAGCCACACATAACTGGAATAAGCAGCGTTAAATAAACTCACTAACCCGTGGTAGGGGAAAGCCAACACTGACGTGCACCGTGGACGTTTTCCACCACTGGACAGTTGACGTAAACGAGCATAGAGCTGACAAATACACGTGAACGAGCATAGCTTTGGCAAATACAAGTGAACGAGCATAGCTCTGGCAAATACACGTGAACGAGCATAGCTCTGGCAAAAACACGTGAACGAGCATAGCTCTGGCAAATACACGTGAACGAGCATAGCTCTGGCAAATACACGTGAACGAGCATAGCTTTGGCAAATACACGTAAACGAGCATAGCTTTGGCAAATACACGTAAACGAGCATAGCTTTGGCAAATACACGTGAACGAGCATAGCTCTGACAAATACACGTAAACGAGCATAGATCTGGCAAATACACGTGAACGAGCATAGCTTTGGCAAATACACGTGAACGAGCATAGCTTTGGCAAATAGACGCGAACGAGCATAGCTTTGGCAAATACACGTGAACGAGCATAGCTCTTGCAAATACACGTGAACGAGCATAGCTTTGGCAAATACACGTGAACGAGCATAGCTCTGGCAAATACACGTGAACGAGCATAGCTCTGGCAAATACACGTGAACGAGCATAGCTTTGGCAAATATACGTGAACGAGCAAAGCTCTGGCAAATACACGTGAACGAGCATAGCTCTGGCAAATACAAGTGAACGAGCATTGCTCTGGCAAATACACGTGAACGAGCATAGCTTTGGCAAATACACGTGAACGAGCATAGCTCTGGCAAATACACGTGAACGAGCATAGCTCTGACAAATACACGTGAACGATCATAGCTTTTGCAAATACAAGTGAACGAGCGTTGCTCTGGCAAATACACGTGAACGAGCATAGCTTTTGCAAATACACGTGAACGAGCATAGCTCTGGCAAATACACGTGAACGAGCATTGCTCTGGCAAATACACGTGAATGAGCATAGCTTTGGCAAATACACGTGAACGAGCATAGCTCTGGCGAATACAAGTGAACGAGCATTGCTCTGGCAAATACACGTGAACGAGCATAGCTTTGGCAAATACACGTAAACGAGCATAGCTTTGGCAAATACACGTAAACGAGCATAGCTCTGACAAATACAAGTGAACGAGCATAGATCTGGCAAATACACGTGAACGAGCATAGCTTTGGCAAATACACGCGAACGAGCATAGCTTTGGCAAATACACGTGAACGAGCATAGCTCTTGCAAATACACGTGAACGAGCATAGCTTTGGCAAATACACGTGAACGAGCATAGCTTTGGCAAATACACGTAAACGAGCATAGCTTTGGCAAATACACGTAAACGAGCATAGCTTTGGCAAATACACGTGAACGAGCATAGCTCTGACAAATACACGTGGACAAGCATAGATCTGGCAAATACACGTGAACGAGCATAGCTTTTGCAAATACACGTGAACGAGCATAGCTTTGGCAAATACACGCGAACGAGCATAGCTTTGGCAAATACACGTGAACGAGCATAGCTCTTGCAAATACACGTGAACGAGCATAGCTTTGGCAAATACACGTGAACGAGCATAGCTCTGGCAAATACACGTGAACGAGCATAGCTTTGGCAAATATACGTGAACGAGCAAAGCTCTGGCAAATACACGTGAACGAGCATAGCTCTGGCAAATACACGTGAACGAGCATTGCTCTGGCAAATACACGTGAACGAGCATAGCTTTGGCAAATACACGTGAACGAGCATAGCTCTGGCAAATACACGTGAACGAGCATAGCTCTGACAAATACACGTGAACGATCATAGCTTTGGCAAATACAAGTGAACGAGCGTTGCTCTGGCAAATACACGTGAACGATCATAGCTTTTGCAAATACACGTGAACGAGCATTGCTCTGGCAAATACACGTGAACGAGCATTGCTCTGGCAAATACACGTGAACGAGCATAGCTTTGGCAAATACACGTGAACGAGCATAGCTTTGGCAAATAAACGTGAACGAGCATAGCTCTGGCGAATACACGTGAACGAGCATAGCTCTGGCAAATACACGTGAACGAGCATTGCTCTGGCAAATACACGTGAACGAGCATAGCTTCGGCAATACACGTGAACGAGCATAGCTCTGGCGAATACAAGTGAACGAGCATTGCTCTGGCAAATACACGTGAACGAGCATAGCTTTGGCAAATACACGCGAATGAGCGTAGCTGACAAATACACATGAACTAGCACAATTCTGGAAAAAACACGTAAACGAGCATGTGAGTGAGTGAGTATGGTTTATTTGATAGTGATTCATAAACACATACTTACGAAAAAGTTGGAGTGGTGCAATCGACTGCCTCTAGCAGATAGGTCTTATAATCATGGTAAAGTGTGGTCACGTTTTTGTATTTTACTGTCATATGTGTTTATTTTATATTTTACTTTTGGGGCGAATTTTACAATTTATGTTTATTTTCCTTTTCAAATTTGTGTTTTTGCTTACGTGCCATTTGTGTCCAATGTTTGCTAACATTAGGGACCGTTTCGTTAACTTCGTCCTTTTCAGTCTTCGATTATTTGCTGTAAATATTTATCAATATATCGAGGATATCAGCACCAGGCTAGACAACGCTCTGTGGTATTGCATTTCCTTAGAATTATTGCCAGTAGCTCATCGCCAGACAGCACACATGTCCAATGTCTCTTAACCGGCTGCAGCAACGACCAGTCGACCACAAATTATGGTAAGAACATTTATTAAGAAGAAATTTCATTTCCCTTCACTGTAGCAACCAACTATTAAGCACTGCTTCAAGTAACGTCAGAAACCCGAATTAGCAAATTTTATACTTCCAACTTCTCGCCTTGGTTCGATATTCACTGGAGGCTGAATTACTGATAAATTGCCACTGACATGGTCATGGAGAGTGTTTGGTTGAGGGCTTTCTAAATAATAGGATCTGTTGGTTTCCTGTGGAATGTATTGTGTAGAATAATGTCGTTCTGGTCCACCAAACATTCCTGTTCCTTTTCCTATTTGGTTTGTGATGGGCATTTTGATGGGTAGAGTCCCTTCATCACATTGTCAGTCGTCTTTGTATGAATCCAGTGGAATATGATTCCGTTGTCTGGGTTTAGGTTACTTCCATTTAATAACAGGAATTAATGAAGACTTGTGTTTGTGGAGCTGTAGCTGACTGCCCAACCGACATCGCAGGAGGTGATGTGAAATGGGGTTTACCGTAGCGTCCAAGGTTATTGCACTTATACAGTGACGTGCATACACGTGTGTGTGTTTGTGTCTGTGTGTGTGTGTGTGTCTGTGTGTGGGTGGCGCTGTTTGTACTAGTCCGGACTGATACCGATTTATAGTGCCAGCCTACTGAGATACCATGACGCAGTTTAACATGAATACCCCACTCAGAGACAGTATACTGACTCCGAGCCGACCAGTCCTTGTTTTAGCCCCTTAATGCCCAACGCCAGGCAGGGCAACAACAAGTACTATCTTTTGACGTCCTTTGGTATGACGCGGCTGGGGATCGAACCCGGTTATCATGTATACATTCCCTTTTAAATAATTCTGGATTATCTTATGTATGGCTAAAGCAACACTTCATTTCTTCTCCCTGGTCCAAATATGTCGTATCAACAAATCTATATGACATCAGTCGTCAACACTGGGAGGCGGATATTTCGAATTCCTCAATGGTGCTTATTACGTATATTCCAAAACGAACTCAAACTTGAAAACTGTATCTCTAAACTGCCTCTACATTTGGGTTTACACTTACCCTCTTGCAGGACTTTCTGCCACCGCTTACCAATTGAAGTCGGGAGATGACATAAATTACCCCTACCAGAGCGCTGATGTACTCTGTGTCATCGATCTGATACTGGAGATGAATATCATTACATTTCTGAGTATCAATATTTTAACTCAGAACGAAAGATATAACTACCTTTATGTTATTTAGGTGCACCGAATATGTTAGTTTTTCAATTTCTCTTGCAATGTACATTTTGTAATATCCTCATCAAATGTGTTAAATCCTTATTGCAAACCCTCTTTGTTTTGGTCATGCATTTGTACTTCAGATACACAGTATATCGCCGGGAAAGCAAATAAAGCTCTGTTCTTTCTGCTCTATTTTGAAGATCGGAAATGAAGAGGCATTTAGTGTTCGTGGTATTTTTTTAATACTAGTAGAAGAAGAAGAAGAAGAAGAAGAAGAAGAAGAAGAAGCATGAAAAGTCTTATTCCAATGTCATGACTCGTCACTCCGGGTCTCGTCTGTATCCTGACTATTGCTTATGTGGCGTTAAGCAATTTTCCCTCACTCAAAGTCTAGACTGAGGTTCGCTGCTACAGATATTGTTCTTTTTAAAGATAAGGTTATATCAAGTCGATTTCGAGAAACATGCACACCGATATGGCGAACAAATACACACAACTGGGTGAGTGTCCGTCAGCAGTGTCCGTTTCCAATGAAAAGAATAGTGACTAACTAAGAAACCAAATTATATTTATCTCCGATACTATGCCCTCATCAGTATACACACACACATACATACACACATACACACCAACACACATATACACACCAACACACACACATACATACAAACACATACACACTTAGGTATGTGTGTGTGTGTGTGTGTGGTGTGTTAGTGTGTGAGTGTGTGGCGTGTGTGTCCGAGTGTGTGTATGTGTGCGCGCGCGCGTGTTAGTGTCGTGTGCGTTTGTGTGTGTATCGTGTGTGTGCGTGTGCGTGCGTGTGTGCGCGCGCGCGTGTGTGTTAGTGTCGTGTGTGTGTGTGTGTGTGTGTGTGTGTGTGTGTGTGTGTGCGTGCGTGTTGGGTGAAGGAGGTGGCGCATTGTGGGGTGGGGTAAATTAATTCTATTCACAAGGTTGAGAGATATATAGCAACACGTTTACGATATGAATCACATGATTACTTAAGTAAATGTTATATGTTGCTATAAGAAACAATGCTCACGTTTATAGCCTGTTCGAAGTCTTCTTTCTCGATGACGCCATCTTTGTTAGTGTCTGAAAGAGAACACATTGTTGACATCAGGTAAACACAGGTATGACCTATATAATGTGACTAGCGGCGACATACACTGCAGGACCACGGAAAGCATACACTTGAAAATTGGATCTAAAATTACAAAATTAATGTTATCAAAACGTTACAAAACTGAACCAGTCGCCTATACACAACTATGATACCCGTCTCAAATACGTCACCACCGAATAACCATTTCCTGTTTGGTATATTTTAGCCACCATCAAACATGGGTGTATTCAAGGTAGACAAAATTTATGGAAAGCAGCTTCTTTAATGCTGTAAAAAGCGACGTTTCGGTATAGATCCTTATACCGTTGTCAAGCAAGACTTGCTTGACAACGGTGTGAGGATCTATACCGAAAATTGTGTCTACCTTGTCATCCGTCAACTTCTAAGTAATGCCTGTCAAACAATGTTATGGGTATATACGTAAAACAGTAAACTACGTTTATAACGAACACGCTTATAACGAACTAAATTTAGAGGCCCCTTTAAGTTCGTTATAACCGTAGTTTACTGTAGTTATACCATGTTTCCAAATAAGATAATACTACAATTAACTGCATCAAAATGCTTTTCAGAGAAATGTAACAGATGACGTCACAATCAAATGACATCACTACACAGCAACCGAAGCCTGGAAAAAGGACTAGCGCCCTCTAATAGCAGATTGCCAGCGAAGCTTGTGAGCTTTACGTTATGCCAAAAAAGACACTGGTTATTACGGTTTACAAATTGAAAAGTAGGAAGAACGATTTTGGATGATAAATAGAACCTCACCCTCGTGTCTTTTGTCATTACATATATCAACACTGGTCGTTTAAAAATTAGAAACTCCACGGCAAGCTTTGGAGACTTCAACTGTTGTCGTCTCATGTTAATATTTGATATCAAAATGTTCTCTTTCCCTCTCCCTCTCTCTCTTTCTCTCTCCCAAAAAAACCTCAAAGGCAACAACTGGAACTAGATTCAGTCTACGTCGGCGATATCCTGGTTTTCAGAGTACACATGAGATCGCGAAGGTCACACCGGAAATACAGAATTAACATAATATTTGTCATTTCTTGTTAATCACACTATTTTCATGGTTACCTCATCTCGTGATGACTAGGTAAAGTCAGTCAGAGAGTGAGTGAAGTATTCCAGTTAAAACTGGAACTAGAACCCACGAACCTCGGTTTCTGGCCCGGCCAAGGGTCGCACCTATTCACAGCAAAGTGCGGCGCCTAAGACGACTGGACCGGCCATGCCCCTACTGCAACTCATACATGCATCAATTTTGCCATGTCATTCGATAAGACAAACATGATATTGCCCCCCCTCCACCCCCCCCCCCCCCCCCCTCCCACACACACACACACCCACACCCACCCACACACCCAATGATATGTTTTCTATATAACGAATTAATACGGAACAAATGTATTCTAAATTGAACTAATGACTATATCAAGGGTGCATGCTAACATTTTTAATACATTTTTTTATTGACATTTTTTCAAAAAACGTTTTGTAAGCATTAGTGAGTGAGTTTGATTTCAGAAAGCCGCTTTGAACAGTGTTTCAGTTATATCACGTCGTTTCTGTGTGATGTGGAAAAAAAGCCCAAAGTGATGCAGATATTAGATATTACCACTTTGCTGAACGGGTATAGTGGTGAAAGCAAAAACAAAATACGGACTGGGCGATTCTGGGATTCGAACCCAAGACCGTAGGTTTCTGGCACGCCAAAGTCGCCATTCTGGACAAAGAGGACAAGTCTAGCCATGCTCCCCGATACCTCAGATCGCCCTAATGTACAGTTCCGTGCGAATGTTATCAACAATAAGTTTCAGTGAAGACTGGGGAAAGAATTGATTTGCAAACACATCACCTCTACCATGTTGGAAATGTAAACTTGTGACCTTTGTTTATTTATTTTGAAGATGATATATCAGTTTTGTATTTTTTTAAAACAAATGTTAAGGTTCAAATCAAATTAAAATATAATATGATATATATATGTTGACTGAACGTCAGTACAGTTTAGTTTTTTATATCATATCGCTAACTTAAGATACTGACAATTGAAAATGAAACATATGATACAATCAACTGATATGTATAGTTTCTTTTGCTCCTCAGTATATTTAGCACATGCCCATTTCTAACACTCGTTGTATAAAACCAGTATGACACTCGCGCTGACATAACAATCCCTATTCAAAGACCACCAGATAAAACAAGGCAAACGTATGACAACATCAGACCTTGATAAGACCCTCTGAAGTTCACATGTAACAAGAATGAAACTCCCCAAGGCATTTACGTCCACATAACGTGCCTTTAATGGCTTGTACACCAAGTGTATTCTTAAACACGCACGTTAGTTTTAAACTGCAAATTGTATAATGTCTATCTTTTGTTAGAACACAACGCCAGTTGTAACATTACGCTTATAGATTGTGTTTATATTGAATAAATAAACAGGGCAAGGTTTCTGCAAACAACTCTTGTTCTGGACGATAATGGTTGTCTCAGGTTAAAATGGTGCTTTGGAATACTGAAGGATTCACATAAAGCAAGCTAACAGCTCGTCACTTCAACACGCCCATTTAATATATATCGTTTTCGGGCGTATTCTCCTCTGTCATGTTATAGAAAAGAGACGCTTTATCCCTTCAAAACAGTCATTATCTTCGATCCTGCCAGTCCCCAGACAGCATTGCCTGTAGGCGATTCCGTAGTATTGAATATCTCCAATCACATGTCAATTATCGGTAGTTATCTCAAGTATAACCTTAGGCTGCAACTGGAGCTTGGGGAAGTGTATGGTGAGCTGCTGGTGCTATAATAAGGGGAATCGAACGACTGTTTGGAAAGTTGTAATAAAACGACAGACATGAAAGATGCTTCTGTTCGTAATTGTCCAGCTGTGCCATTTTGAACATAACGATTCCAATTATGTTTTTAAAGCCTAATATAAAGGTTTGATATTGCCTTTTTCTGGTTATTAGAAAATGTAATTTTTAGAGAATATGTCTATATGCAGTCATTATACGTGATACAATCAGACCAAAACCCATCAATGATCAAATGTTTTTTTGATACACACTCCGCACTTTGGATCAATTCTGTGTGTTTTCATTCACTAACTTATGGATTACACATACATAGGGGAATTGACAAATGTAGTTTGCTATGTTCAAGAGGGAACTAGGTTCAAGAAAAACGACACTCGTGTGAAGTGTCATTTATAGTATGATGTAATATGAACCAAATACAAAGTTTCTAAGCAATCTCAAAGTGCTACATTCTGTTTGAACCCATTTTCCTACTTTGTCTTGAGAATTGTGTTTCATTTTTATTTGTTGTTTAAAATCACACTCAGTAATAATCCAACTATATGGCGGCGTCTTTAAATAATCGAGTCTGGACCAGACAAGGCAGTGATTGGCATCATGAGCATCGATGTACGCAATTAGGATACGATGACATGTATCAGCGAGCCTGACCACCCGATCCCGTTAGTTGCCTCTCGCGACAAGCATGGGTTGCTGAAGACCAATTCTAACTTGTATTTTCACGGGTCCTTTTTCTTGAGAAATGCATTCTGCTTCTCGGTTAGTATTTGATGATTTTTCATACACAAGAAAAGCCGTTGTGTTGCACGCGCTTTTATCAACAGATCAGTGTGCTCTCGAATTTCTTTCTCAGCTCTCTGGGGAGGATACAAACCAAGCTGCCCAATGATGCGCTAGAAAGTCGACAGTCACATTACCATCTCATCCTACATAGTACACAGATGCATATTTCGAGCACAATTGCGGGTCATTGTGTCAGTGCCTAAACGCCAGTACCTTTCCTGAGTCAAGCGACCAACGTTACTTAAGCTTATTTGTGACCTGGATGCTGTTATGTATTGGTTATTCAGCATCCAGTCTGTTGTTTTCAAAGTCAATGTTTACAACATATAACGATTTACAAGTAACTAAGCAATATTCAAGCTATATGACGGCGGTCTGTAAATAATCGGTTTTGGACCAGACAATCCAGTGATTGACATCATGAGCATCGATCTAAACAACTGGGATACGATGACATGCATCAACCAAGTCAGCGGGCCTGACCACCCATTCCCGTTAGTCGCCTCTTACGACTAGCGTGGGTTGCTGAAGACCAATTCTAACCCGCAACTTCAAGGACTAGTTATTAGTATCTCTACATGCTCGTGGTCATTGTCTTCGTCTCACACACAACATGTCTTACAACATCAACACCGAGCATGTTCGATAACACATAGCAGAACATAGTACTTCTTCCACCCTCGATTAACCAGTTTATTCAGATCCACTCTATTACGATAGGGCAGCTTTTGGATGTGATCCGGCTGGGATAGACTGTTTCCTCTTTTTCAGTATAATCATTCTACCAATGACAACATCACGCACAAGCTAAACCCACACTGAAAGACATTCAACAGCTTTATCCTCTGGTTTGATCTATGTTTTGCATATATTTCGACATCTTCCCGAGGCAAGTGAGTTAACTGCCTATAAAAGTCCAGTTTCCACCCTTGCCGAACTAGGCTGGTATTATGGAGTTACATTTTGGCTGGACTAACGAGTCTATGCATAATCCAATCAAAATCGCGCACCGAAATCGAAATCCGGTTCGTAAAGTGTCATGCAGATTTCCATCGACTGCAGGATTTGCAAAGCATGTGCACCGCTAACTCGTTGTCAACAGATATTTTCTAAATCTTTTCAAGATTTTAATCAAGGTGCTCACGTGATTTGATGCACTTCGCGATGTAAGACTCGTTTTGTCACAATATAGATCTTGATTATCAATCAGATCGTCTTGACTGGGCGCCACCGTTTTGTTTGAAGCAAATGCAAGTGATACGAGAGGTTGAATCTGATTGGTCAATAGGAGAGGCATAGAAAGGACATAACTCGTAATAGCCACTGGTGGCGCTACGATCGAGCCCAGGAAT